AAAAAACCGCCCGGGAAGATCAGGTGTAGAACGGGTCACTGAACTGAGGCAAATCTTTTCAGCACACCCCGGAGGCAAATAAGCTGTCATACAGACGCGACCGCTGCTGCATAAAATCTGACTGAAAGTCCGAGTTCGGTCGGTAAAAGTCGGTTGAGATGGCTACGACAACCCGTTCTACACTATTGATAAGTCTCGTCTTGTTAGAGCGGTGCGCACTTAGATTTCTGCTGTTGACGACACAGCGGACGGGATCGCAACACCACGATGACTCTGCAAGCGCGAGTAACAAAGCAGGTCCCTGCTAGGCAGCGAGGGCCTCTCAGCTGGTCCCGTTGACGAGCTTGTCGACTGGTAGGCCACGAGACGGTACCGGCAAACCCACCAACGGCAGCGGAAACACAATAAACTTACAGGGTCTTTTTGGATAAGTATAACATTAAAAGCGCTGTCTCAAAAGGGACAATGGAAGTATGCCGTGCATGGTGTAAACAAGGTAGGGGCAAAGAGCCATGTCGAATACAAAGTTAGAAAAAAAGAGAGGTTAATTACAAAAACCTACCCCAAAACACCTAGTAAATGTGGACGTCTGCCGAGTAGCGGGGAAAATTCAAAAAACGAAGTTGAGACGAATACTCGGCATAAAATGGCAAAAACAGGGGAGACGGGACAGGAGTGGCGGATTGGAGAGGGATGGGCAAGGGCAGACAACAGTGGGCGATGGTTGGTGATAACCGGTTCTGATACGTGATTCACGGGGTTGTGAGCGATAAATGCACCTAGCCGGAACCTGAACACATAGAAATGCGGATGAAGGAGAAAAACAAATGCAATGTTCTGGAACAGAGAGAAAGAGAGTAAAAACGACTCTGGCGAAACACGCGGGGGTGTCAACAAAGAGGGAGCGAGGGGAGAGGGAAGGGTCGACTTGAGATAGTGGACTGGCGGAGAAACGACGTATGGCTGCCAGCGACAGTGCACTCAAAATAGACCTTTACGCTTCTTTTCCGTCTTTCCGCGCTCTTTAATGACTTCATTGAGGACGCGCTCGCCCAGACCCAGACTCAGGCCGGATGAACCACTCAGGTCAGCACCAATGTCCCACTCACGCCAAGCCTCTTCCCAGGAACTGCGTTCAGCCTCGAAAGTCCGTCTCTCCGCCGCGAACTGGCTCTCCTCGGCACGCAGCTGTTCACGCATCTGATCAGCCCGATGCGCCAGGTCGGCCTCAAATTCTTTCATCTTTTGATTCTTTTCGGCAACCTAAAGAAATGGAAAAAGAAGAGCTGTATTAAATGACTGGTGAATAGATCATCGAGGCGTAAACCTCGGGTTCGCGCACTGCAAAACAGGCTCTTAACTGCAAACGACGGCGGTTATCCGGGAAGCAGAGTTAAAGGATCGAAAGATCAGGAGGCGTGTTTCAGCGCAAACCGTTAAGCGTCCAAGCCAAAAAATAAGATGTTGACCCAAACTCGCTTTGAAGGTCTCTTTCGGCAGAAAAACGAAAAACCTTGGTTTGGAAACCAGCAAAGATGACGGAAAATAAACTTTAAACAGTTGTACAGCTACCTGAGGTCAATCTCCTGGGAGAAAGGCCAAAAGAAGGACTCAGACAGCGCGGGGTCCATTCAGGAAAGATGCCGCTTCTATCAAGAGCTAACGTGATTCTTGAGAATGGAAAGTAGGCAGCATTCGAAAACCGAATTACCAAACCCGGTAGTGGGAGGGAAGGCGGGTTACGACTTTTCATTTTTGGCACGGGAATCGGAAAAGCAGCCCTCCGACAGTTGTCTCAATCACTACAGGAAGCCAGTTAAAGCATGCTATTGGCTAGCAGGACGACTGCTTCTCAAGGCTTCAATCTCGAAGTTAGTACAAACTCATTAAGGAACAGTTAAAACGATAGCAATCATTGCCATCTACCAACTACTTTCGGAGTATAATGAGTGAACCCAGCATGCCACCCGGGACGCACGATCGCGAAGAATTCAAGGGGTCAAGTTTAAAGATGAGGTAAATGAGTCGAAGAAGGTTGTAGAGCAACGTCGCCATAGAGCTCTGGAGATTTTACTTCTGGTTGCGCTCAAGACCTCATAATGAGAAACTCTAAGCCAACTATCGGAGAGTATGAAACTCAGCGAGAAGACTCACTCCTCTCTCACGATGCAAATGCATTACACTGAACTGCTAATAAGCTCGAAGCAGAAACCAGTCAGGGTGGGGCGGAATTGGCTAAAATGACCATCCACCTGTAATGAGTAGTTAGGGGTTGGTAACCACGAGAGAAAACGCCAAAATGAGAGTCAGGATCGGTAACATTAGTTGAAAGAAGCTACAAGTGGTCAGTCGGTATGCTGAACGACAACAGGTGGGAATTTTCCCCTTTAGAGCTACAGTTAAGATCAGACGAGTGGCAGAAAGCGGCGTAAAAAGTAGGGTGACTGGCAGTGTTGAAGAGAGAAGACGGAAGAGTGTGTTGTGTTTCACACAGAAGTAAGGTCCTGGGACGGCGTCTCAAATGAATTGGGCGATTAAAACAGAGCCAGGCACACATAAAAAGTAAGTCAGGATTCCGCAAAGTAGGCATCACGGGTCCAACCAATACCTCACACACATGTAAGCTGCTGGTTGTACGAGTCAATGCACAGCACTACAAGTTAGGTGATTTTGAACAGCAGAGTCATAAATGGTGAGCAGAAGACCCAGTTGCGAAAATATGAGAGCTGCGTTCTCCGATGTGGCCTGATTGTAGAATAAAGTAAGGGCTTTCCGCTTTGGTCTGAGAGAGCGCTAAGCCCGACGACCAATTGAGTCCGGGCTTAAAACTCTGGCCTTTTTGGTCCCGAGTTGAAGTGTGGTTGACTGACGGTACGGAAGTCAGAAATGGCTACTCTAACATCCTTTTACTTTGCCGACAATATTTATTATTATCGGTTTTAATATGAGTGGGTGAAGTCAAACTGCATTTTAAGTGTTTATGAGTCCAGAGCCAATCTGATTTAACTGGCGTGAGCCCTACCGGACTGGTTTGCGGTGAAAATCAAGTTGGCTGGAAACACCTATTCTAGCCCTTCTAATCGTGCTCAGCAGTCTGCCGGACTGACTGCAACTATGCCGTCAGTCCGCGAATGGTAAATAGGCGTGAAGGTAGTGAGGGTGGGGGGCATTCACTATTCATGAAAAGATATGAGCAAACTGCGATACCTTTTGAGCAAAGACGGCCTCCATTTCCGCTTCCATCTTGCGCATTTTGGCCTCATGTTCTTTCTTCTCTGCCTCCATGCACATCATCGGGTCCTTGCCATCGACCGTCTGAAATTGGCTTTCCGATGCGATGCAGGACAGCTTGGCACTTCGGTAGTTTTCATAGTGCACACGATGCGTCAATTCGCGCAGATGCTAAAGGTCGACCGTTGGAGAAGAGGTAGGCGAGGGGGGATATAGAAACCCGTTCAAATACTTCAGATTTGAAAGGGAAAGGCAGTGAAAAACTACTGCCGCAGAACAATGTAATATAGCGGACCAATGTCCAGCGACATAAGGCAGTAATTCCATTCCTACGTGCTTCACCGCACAACTGGTTTCTCCCCACTGAGCGCTCAGAGTTGAGTGACCACGTCGTGCAGGCAGGTGCCTGACGCAACCGTCAGTGGATCAGTAACTACCCCTGGGTACTCCATTCGGCAACACCGTCCATTGAGATGGAGTAACGCAGGAAGCAGCCTAAAATACCACTGTCTTCTGGCTGATCAACTTGCATGTGCAAGCTCCAGAAGTGAGTTCTGTTCAGGGAATTGGACTCGTGGGGACTGTTCGGGACAAAGTCTGTGAACTTCACTGTGGGAATCGTCCTCAGACAGCGGTGGTTGAAAACCCCCTACTCCACACTTGTCTACTTCCACAGCCCAGCATTCACAGCCATAGGGATTGACTGACTGAACGAATGTCCAATAATTCCAGATCCTTGTGGCGATTGAGACAAGCTTCGAGTGATTGGACTGGTCAAGTATTCAGTCTCCAAAGTTGCCGTTTAAAAGGTTATACAACCCTCATGTTTGAAGGAGGCCGTTCGCAAAGTCTACTTTAGCTTGTTGAAGTGGACCCAACAGGAGGCCCAAAGTCAAATGAATGTCTGGGCCAGAAACGTAGAACTCGAGTCTGCTGAGCTAATTTTTGCGAGACTGTTTTCCCGACTTGGGAAATCAGGATAGTTAAAAACGGTTGCGAAAGAAGTGAGACCTATGACAGTTCGACCATCGTGAACGATGATGTCCGCCGTGCGAACCATGGGGCGATGGACACAAGACGGTGACTTGCGCGTGTATTCGTTTATAGCGATAGTCGGCATGTGCAGCATCCACCACACTCTCCTCCCTCACCTCTACCTGGGTCCAGTGGCCAGATCGGTCGGGGACGGACCCGGGCGCACTGGCTGATAAAGTCAAACAGCCCGTCTACGCGTGCCACGCGCAAGTTAGCCTTCACAGAGTGTACCGTGTTTCCACAAGGGCGGAAGGCAGTTAGGATTTCAAGTGGGTATGTCAGGTGTATACGCTAGAAATCGCGTAAGACGCATTGGAAAGCCCATCAGTGAGTGTATCCTATTACAGCTGTTTTGTGCGCCCAGGAGACCGGCGAAAAACCTATCTTGATTTCAGACAAGCATCTCTGTGCCAAAGAGTAATGGCTGAAAGTACCTGACTTCGACAAACTTAGGAGGCGCAGTTATTACGTCCGTAAGCTGTCATTACGATAGCCTGAGACCTCCGGATAAAAGACGGCAGAAGGAAAAAGGCAGCCTCAGTGACGTGAATGGAGGACATGATATAAAATCGCGACGGGTTTAAAGAATGTTCTACACCCACAGAAGTCCAACTGACAACTAGCAACTGTCAAGTTAGCTACTTCGTTTAATTTTGCCTTCAGTCAGCATGAATCGGACGTGTCATTGGCAAATTATGGCTGTGGAAAGAGTGAGACCGACCAAAGTGTACTCTAATCACCATAATAAATCCCAAGAGATTCTTAAATGTCACGGCACATGACTATAAACTAGTGGAGAAAAACTCGTCTTCCGGACTGAAGGTCAGGTTGAAGTGATGTTAGCTTAATGTGGGCATTATGACAAGCCTCCCCAAAATGAGATCAGTTGCTGAAGTCTGGCCCCGGCGTAGCGACGGACGGGGCTCTGGGTCAGTGCTTACACCCATCTCCAGTCAGATTGACTTTTCCGTGTCATTGGAACAAAGCGTGTGAGGGAAGAGATCGATTCAGATGCTGCTAGTCTCCATCACTACAGTCTAGTTCAGTCCAAGTCCATACTGCTCTCAGGGACGGTTGTAGCGGTAGTAGTGGCAGTAGTAGTATTAGTAGTAGTAGTAGCCGTAGTATAGTAGTAGTAGCAGTAGTAGTAGTAGTAGCAATAGTAGTAGTAGTAGTAATAGCGGTAGTAGTAGTAGTAGTAGTAGTAGTAGTAGTAGTAGTAGTAGTAGTAGTAGTAGTAGTAGTAGTAGTAGTAGTAGTAGTAGTAGTAGTAGTAGCAATAGTAATGGCAGTAGTGGCCGGTACTTGCACCTAACTGCTGATGTTACAAAACATTTCGTTTGCTTGATAAAAAACTAAGGCACAAATAAGGGGGTTGTTGCGTCACTTCTCATTGAAAATATAGAGCACAGTTAGCGGTGCATGTCGCCTGAGTCAGGGCTGACCCACTTGCTTCAAATGAATTAAAGATCTTGTCTGTCACAAGCAGTCAGTTTTACAAGGTAACCAGGGTGATCGGAGGCTTTAATGTCTCAGTGGCCTTGGGGATAGACCACCGGCAAACACTTTTTACGTCTAAAGTCGATCGTCGTTAGAGGAGAATGGTGGGCATTGCTAGACACTTATGGAAACAGAGGAATATCCTTGGCGTCCACCATAGAAAGCAAGAAAAAATCAAGGTGGCCGCCAACGGATTCGCAGCTGGATGTGTTACTTACGACAGTTTATTGCTTAAGATGGTGAAAGAGTTGCCTGAAATAGTTCTGCTATTTGACATGGTTGCAAGAAAACAGATGAATACGCTCTGTGTGGAACTAGGAAAGGCAAATTCCAGTAGCAATCACGACAGCAAGACGAAACGTTGGACAGTATTTTCGAAAACTAAGTGCCAGAACTCGAAATTGGGATAGGCAGGTGAAGTTGTAATGACTGTCCTTGGTATTTGGGCGAGTTTTAAGGAATTTCTGGTGGGTGTGTGTGTGTGTGGGAAAATTAACCTAAGGTGGCTGGCCTTTTATGCGCAATCAACGCGAAATCATGAGTGTGAAACTCGGCACCGGCCCGTGAGGTTGATATCGTCAAATGACCGGCAATCGCCGTGGAGATGCTTTCTGTCATGGTAACCCACATGGCGGCATGTGCAAGAAGCTAGTAACAGCCTCTAGATAGCTTGTTTATGACTAGCCCCTGCACTTGATCAAACTTGGTTCTAGAAACACGACCGTAGTGTAAAATAACGATCGGAAGCCAAGCATGAGCTGGCCGATTACTGCGTTTAATATCGTAGTCGCGGGATATCTAACAGAAAACAAACGTCTAAGACCCTGGATTTAATGAAGAAGTTCCGAAAATAACAACTGACCATCTGCACTGTTTACGTGTAAACTGCGATGAGCAATAAACCCGTCAACCGCGGTTGGTCAGTCAGGGTGAAATAAGCAGGTCGTGTTTGGAACATGCTTTCTAGCGCCTCACCCCGCTATGGTAAGCAATGTTCCCAACGATAGTCTCAACATCGTTCATTTGCTAAATTCCACTGCCGTTTGCCGCTGTTTTTTGCCAGTATGGAGAACGATCCTAAATAGCCCTGTTCCTCGTGTGCAGACCTGCAGCTAAGGCTTAATAACTACCGCTTCGCCATCGCCATCAGAGTTGAAAGTGGCAGTGACGAAGATGGTCTTGGAACAGCAGGATTTGCTTGACAAGACTCCAATGAAGATGAAGGCCTACAAACGCCAGCTCGATGAGCAGGTAAGTGGGCGCCAGTTCCAGATGACCGTTTTTAATTCCCTAAGGGTATCGGATTTTTAGCCCTTTTAATATGATCCGACGTTTATTCTGTGGGAGGAGGTATCTCAGCTGACGATGAACAAGTACCGCAAGGCCCAACAACAGATTGAGGAGGCCGGCACAGTATTTACCAGTTCCATCCTACATACACCGTGTTCCAATGGGATGGCTAGGCCAACAGTATAAGAGCGGCGTAGAGATTAAGCAGACGGCAGCATACTACACACCTGTCCCTTACTCAAAATCGAGTTGGACTTCACTTATTCACCTGGATAGGAGACATGCAGACAAACAATATCTGGTTTCGACAACCGATAAAGGCAGTCGGTGGAGTGTACCCGCTGCGGCTACAACAGTTTTATGTAGACACAGATAACATCTAGGGGCCAAGTGAGGCCAGCGTGGGATAATCATTCACGTGCAACTGAAGCGATCGGTCCTACCAGAGCGACAGTAGGTTTTTATGCAAAGACATGCACAAAAAGTACGGCCGTGACCTCACCTGCATTTGAAGCCGGATCAAAAAGTAACGCAGGATGGAGAAATCATTATGCTCCACGTTGTCGACCTCCACAGTGCCCCAGGGATAGGTGCGTGCACGAACCTTGACTCCGGCACTGTTGGTAATGTAGGTGTTGGCGCCCACAACAGCAAAAGGCATGCGGTCTCTTAGACGACGGAGACGGGACCCCTCCTCATCGTTACTGTTTTCTGAGAAAACACCGGAAGGAACAATATTACACATAGGAAGACGATGGGAATAGGGTTGGAGAAAATACACAGAAGATTTACTGTAAATCCACATACAAGATAAGTCAGGGAGATGGCGCACAGGGTGTTACAAAGTATACAGTAGAGCTGCAAGATCAGTACATGGTAAACTCTCTTACTTTACGGCGGGCCCACTATTGAAATAGTGGAATGGAGAGGACAGATGGGTCATAATTAATTCTATCTTGATTGCCAAATAAGGTAAGCAGTGTGAAAAGGTCAGAAGACGACGTTTTTCCTACTGATATTTAAACCAGATTGCCTCCTCCTCTAGGAATGACTGATCGTGATAACCAATGGCGGTGGATTTAAAAATGTCTATTAAAAACGCCCTGACACCCTTATAGAAGTTGAATATAAAGGGAACATCTGGGCTGCTACGCCCCGGATCTGCACTTTTTAAGGGAGACAGTGCCCAAAAATTATATGGGGTAGAAAGACATTGGCAGCAGGGGTTTCCCAACTGCATAGGTTTTGGCTAAATGGTACGTTCATTGTCTTTCAGATGGAAATCCGTCCTTCAGTAACATATGCGCGGCAGTTACGGCATAAGTAGGCGTCAGACCCGCGAAGCTATTGTGAATAAGTGGTGGTAAGGAGTAGGCTCAGCAACTAATTACCTACAACAAAATACGAAAAAATGGGAGGACGATGCCGTTGCTTGTCTAGAGCATGAGCCGCAGTTTGAGAGGGCTACAGTTCGGTTCTGGTGGCTACTGTGGAACAGCATGTGCTCCCATTTCTAAGTCGTTACTCCGTTGGTCTATTCACCTCAACACTCACAGGTAACATTTCTCCAATAATAACAAACAATAAAGATATCTGCATATGGGAGAGTGAGAGGCGATCCACAACCTAATTCACTGGCGTGGACAGAGGAACCAGTCAAAACGGTAAGGGTAAGACGGGAATGAGCACATCGTACACATTTACATTGTCTCTAATAAAAACATTAAGCGGTAGGATGTTTTCCCACCAGTTTTACATATCATAAGTTGGCCGTTTTGAAGAAAGTTAAACAATATCCATACAAACTCCAGCATGATGCGACAAAACTGACGTAAGCTCACCAAAACTCTGTTCACTGTCTGGGAAGTCGTATATTTTAATCTTGTGGTGCTGGAAGTCAGCGAGGAGGTTTTTCTTGAATTCCTTGCATTCCTCCAAAGTCATGCAATCAGCTTTGCCGATGATGGGTATGACGTTGACCTTATCCTGAATTCTGCGCAAGCATTCAGCATCGATATTTTTCAAATGGTGACCTGAAACGATTGGGAAGAAGGCATAACGTAACGTACAATAGAAACCTATTTTTGTGGTTGTAAACAGTTTACCGACCTGTTCGATTTTTTTTATCTACGATTGTGTGCGGTATCAAAAGACAAGTCAAAAGATTTACGTCGACAGCTTTCATGTTTTGCAGTTCTGCTCCCTGTTGGACAATATAGTTACTTGAAGGACTCCAATCAAGGTGCTCGCTGGGGAATGTTTGGAATACTGCAAGCCATGCTCTGCGATGGCAGAAGATGGAAATAGTCGAACAGAAGAAAAAAACTTGCCAAGTGTGTTACGGATGCATAAAGTCAGCAGCAGTTCCAAGCAAAAAATACATAAACAGTCGAAAAACAAGGCATTTCCGACCTCGGCCAATAACAAAAAATTATTTGCCGGGGCTGTTACGCCCAATTTCAAACAGCAAAATCTGCTGAACTAGGTATTAGTAGGGACCGCAGAACCATAATTCCCCGGTATAGTGATCCCTGTTGTCCTTGTAAAGTATCTGATACGAAAACAAGCGCTAGATGCGTATACAAACTGAGAACTATGCTTTTTACAGCATAACAGACATGACGTCGGCAACAGCGTACATGACATTAAAGGTAGGTTAGGTCTGTGTCAGAAAGGGATACTAGTGTTTCTATGACAGCAGGGGTCGTCTGTTGATAGAAAAGACAGTGTTCTGGCTGTAATAACTGCACTCGTCAAACATTACCGGTTATTCTTCAAGTTGGTCATCGGGGCCTTCAAATATCCTCTTACCCGGTTGGAAGTAGAAATTGCACAGGCCTGAGACTAAGTATACATTTAAATACCAAACGTTGATGCCATGGAAACAAAGAGCCATTTCAAACCGCTGGAGAGAAACCACAGAATCTTCCAGCTAGGTAAAGGTTAACAGTTTGTAGCAGAAAGACCCGGGACCCTAAAGACGAGTGATGGTTCCCTGAGTCCTACTGCCCGGAAAAAAAACGGTCGACAAACAGATGCGACATGAATCCCCGCGTACAAATGCACATCTCGAACAGCTGTACAAGCAACATTAGGTTCAGTCATGTGAGTGACCGTCTAGACTCACACGCGGAGAGACGTGAAATTGTCGTACTTAAGGACAGGATCTCCATACTACTATTGTGAACGCCTGAAAGACTAATAGATGCATGGAGATGTCCTTTAACAGCGCTTAAGTGACGTAGGTAAAAGAGTTCTTATGCATTGGCTACTCTTAGATGCTGCTGTTAACTACATTTTTCCAAAACACTTTTATCGTTTCCGGACAGCTTACCAGGCTGGTTCCGGCGGTTGGACCCACTTTCTGTTGTGATATGTCCCGTTATGCTTATAGATGGTTGTTATAAGGAGAAGGGTGTTAACAAGGGGCTGTAAGCGTGAACATTCACTACCTAGGAGATTGATGCCGTGTGCCAATCCCTCACTAGCCGGTTTGACGGTTGGCAGTGGCTCGGGTGTCGATTTAAATACAGGTTCGGATGGTTTTTAAAAAGACCACAACTAATTAAGTAGAATACAAGACGGACAATCGGTCGGTCGGATATAACTGTCGGGGTCCTCCGAAAAAAACTCCCTATTGTCCAAACACACATGTACGCCCTGATAAATCGAAGAAACGTTTTTCCTATATTGTGCTTGCACAGTCTCCACAGCCAACATCCCCCCGATGTGTTGTAGCCTAACCAGTTCAGAAGATCCTCTATGGCGGGAAGGACTAATTTTGGCCAACAAATTCCAAAATAATGCTGTAAGTTTATTGGTTTTTCGAAGATTATGAAGAGAAGGAGCAGTAGGATTACAGTTGAGAAATAAGAGGACGGAACTAAGCACATGTGCGTATGTTGAAGTGGTGGGTAAGTAGTCAACAAGTAAAATCGACCAATATGACAGTCACGACAAATACAACTCATGACATGCATACCTGTTGGGGCGATGAAATATAAGCATGCATGCACGCGCTTGTCAGGTATGGCTGCAGAATTCCTTGAAACACGGCCTTCGGCAGCCAAATATTCATCAAAACGAGCATCTATAAAGTCCAGAATTGGCTGCCAGCATTCGCTATTGTTGACTGAATCCCCGAAACCCGGGGTGTCAATAACTGTTAGCTTCAGTGATACACCATTCTCCTACATCCAGATTACGAAACGAGAAATATCAAACCTTAAGGAGTACGGACGAGGACCGAACCTCAACAGTATGTTTGACCTTAAATGAAGGGCCTGGATTTTCAACATTGTAGACATCGGTAAGAAAGAGCGAGTTGATAAAGGTAGATTTGCCAAGGCCGGTCTCACCGACAACCATCAAGTTAAATTCAAAGCCCTTGCGAACTGCCCTCCGAAAAATCTGCATAATAAGTAAGGCAAAATAAAGTAAACCTGGTTAGGAATGTTGGAATATCCCACGTATGTATCAGGTATCGTCGGATTTGATCCATTTACTAATTCAGCGCCGTTTGGTATATTTTCCTGATCGTATTTTGCATCCTTTCCACTAATTAAATCGCGAGTAGATGATTTAAGTCCATCGTAATGGGGAGCCCCGTCCTTTGAAACGTAAGGTGCGCGTCTAGTCTGTGCACTGTGCATTGGCTCCAAAGTCCCAAACAGAGAACAACAAAAACACGAAAATGGGGGCCAGACTATTAAACATGCAAAAGCACCAGATGCAGCTATCGCGTTGTTTAAAATGCCGAAGTTCACACCAGACAGGAATAAAAGCATAAGACTTATGCGGAAGCCAAAAGAGCAGTGGAGACGTTTCATTATGTTCTGAATGTACACAGATATAAGATCCCAGCAAAGAATTTGCGTGTTCACTAAGGATCTAGAAAGGAGGCGGGTCAGTAATAGGGCAGAGAACAAACCGTGGCAGCTTGGAGCGTTGTGACAAGATGGATTAGGAAGAGATTGGAAACCCAAAGGAGGTGAACGGATGTGGGAAAAAGAAAAGATCGGTACAATGTGAAAAAACGAGCAGGAACCCCGAGCAAGTAACTATTAGTTGGTTCATCTGTTTTCGGAAAACATCGCTCCAAGTACTCAGGCAGTGAACAAAGATGTTGTGTCGTCGCCCAATGTAAAAGTTTAGGGGTCTGGTGAAGTTGTATGAGTTGTATGAAATATACTGATACTGAACATACTAATTCTTGGTAGTAGTTATTTTTTTTGAGAGCATTTGCGTGGCCATCGAGATCCCCGAGTGTCTATATGCCTGAACGCCGACCAGAGGACGCAGGTGCGACGCTTCCAGATAGGCTCCTTGACCGTGCGGATTACCATGGCCTCAATATTTTCCTTCTGTGAACGCAACTCACAAATGGCTGAATAATTCAGCCTAAAATTGGCCAAGGTTCTTTCTTAGTCCTCTTGTGAATAGGAAGGCCATCGATTGCTGAGAAAGCTACTATCCCATCACCTAACAGATATATGGAAGGGACGTGTAGCCGCCCAGTTAACTGCCTTGCAATCCCTGCATGAACATACTCATTCCCATCCACTTCCATAAGCTGTGGCGAAGCACCTTCTCCACCTAGCAGTGTTCGTGCGTCCGAGGGCATTTCAAGCGCTTCAGCCGGTTTTATGCGTCTTATAATCCTTAACAAACATGTCATATGCATTTGCGTCATTTGTGAGCGTACTGCGGAAGCGCACAGTTCATCACATGCGGTTGATTCCTTTTCGGTTATGAGGGCCTTCAAGCCCACTATTTAGTGACACAGCCGTGAAGACTGATCCATTGCCAACAGAGCAATTTCAAGTGTTGGTTGACCAACTGTTGGAGGGGAAGTAATAATAATCATTGCCTGTTTACAGACATTGTCAGGGAAGCGTTAAACACAAATCCGGCCAGCTGTGAAAAAACACCCTTGTCAAAAAGGCAATAAAAATAAAGGAAATAACGGTTTTTTAATAGTTTGGAAGGCTCAGGAGAAAAAAACTGCTGACCATGAAATGCCGACAGTCAAGAAATGGACGGGTAACACTCTATTGGAAATTATCAGTCGCTAATTCTTTTTATGAAGTTGGGGCTGGTCCGAACAGAAGCGCCGATGAAGATAACTATAAGTTCAATTCAATTCAATTCAATTATTTTTATTAAAGACCCGTCGGGGTCCCATCAAAGCAGGTAAAAATAAATTTACATACAAATTTTAGACGAGGTAGGCAAAATCTGTACAAAGTGCAATGCATAGTTTTTGAGATTAGAAGTCCGTTAAGCAAAATGAAAATGAAAAAAAACGAGCGGTGAAAAAAAAACTCCAAAGCAAAATTTAAAAATGATTGTAGTAATTTAACTGGAGAAAAAAACCCTCGGAAAAATAGCATCAGAAAAATACAGGGAGGACTGGCCTGCATGTGGCGGTACAGAATGGAATATAGTCTGACATCAACATGGCCGAAATAAATGTCAGCTGTATATGGCATTGTGTAACGGATTTCATAAAATGGTATGTAGGCGGGTCGGTCAGGACTGGCCTGTATCGCCTTGAATAAGAAAAATAAGTGGCGAAATTGAAAACCAGCTGATAGGAACCCAGATGCGGTCGGTTTCAGTCAACCGAGTCCATCCGAACATGGGGGAAGGGAGATGCGACCAGACTACTAGTATATGGCGAATACAGAAGGTTTCGCCAAGAGCAACGATGGTGCGCATTCTGTGAGGGCACGATGCATGAACTGAAAAATTGGAATAATTAACATTTCTGGTGAGGGGTCTTAGGTAGCGAGACTACTCATAAAGGAAGGAAACGTGAACAGATACGGAAATTTAATAGCGGCATGTTAAATTCCCGGTGGCCCTTTCTCGGTGTCATAGAAAAAGTTGTCTGGGAAGGATGAGGAAAATAAAAGTTTAATCGAGTCAGTATTCAGATAAAGGCGTAGCCTTCTCTTAAAGGTGTGTAGATTTTCTGAAGATCTTATATTTATTGGAAGGTTATTCCAGAGGAAAGTATACCTGGAACCGAAAAAAAGGGAGCGCTTATAGGTGGAGGACGCTGGAGGAGGTATAATTAGAGACGAGTTGCGAAGATTGTATGGGCGACTACTAGGGGTAAGTGTTGAAATCCGAGGAAAATTTGAACTATGATTAATGCGAAAGAGGAGACAGAAGCCCGCTTCTAGTCT